TTCTATATCACTTTCTTGATTACGACACAAAAGCTTACCTTTTTCAGCTGATTGTATTAATATCTTTTCTAGTAACAGACGAAAAACCGGTTTTTCAGAAAAATGCCTCTGGCGAAGTTATTTTCATTTCCACACAAAAACAAATGTTGCCACTATGCTCGGCGTAGTCGAATTACCTATGTTCCATGGCATTTCGAGATTCCCAGAGATATCTGCTCGGAGATAGACACATGCCCCTGTCCGAATGACGATAGCTGGAGACCTGGGACTTGTTTAATTTTGTAGAGTAACGTCTGGACCACCTATGCATGTAAAAAAATTACTAACATTGTATGTTAGTTTGCTGAGAACGAAGCTGATTTTCCAAAGATCCTCTGAAAACCCGATCTTTGAAAGTTTTTCAAAAGTTGTTTTCGCTTGCGAAAAGTTCCGTTCAAGTCTTGGGTATCAAATAGTGAAAACCGCAAGTCTCTACCTATCTTCTGTCAAAAGTTATTCAAAAAATGACCAGGGCTCTTGTATTTTGGAACGGATAGTAATGATGATTATTATATATAACTGTTTACTTTTCTACTTATAGACACAATAAATCAAAATGAAAATAAAAAAACAAGACGGAAGTATTTAAGATCAGAGCAAATAAGTATCGATGAACAACAGAATAATACAGGTACGACAATAAATTAATCATTTTAAGATTCTATTATTTATCGTGTTATATTTACTATACTAGGAGATGAAGATGTAACAGAAATGAATCATCATAATGCATGTGGTGACTGTTTATTTTGTTCATCTCATAGTTTACCATTATTACTACCTGAAATTAATTTTGAACATATTCAAATATCTACATTGGATGATGAAAATGATGAAATTTATCCAACACAACAACAATATCAACAACAACAACATTTTGATGATTTAACAAGAGGTGATTTAGCTGTTGGTAGATGTGGTGAAAAATTAGTCTATAATTATTTAAAATGGAAATATGCTAATGATGATAATAAAATTAGAATAGAATGGTTAAATGAGGTAAATGAGACTAGATTACCTTATGATATTAAAATTATTTCAGAAAAAAATGAAATAATTTATATTGAAGTTAAAACAACAATATTACCCGATAATCATTTATTTCCAATTAGTATTGATGAATTAAGTTCGATTCTCAATCTATCCACTGATCAATATTTTATTTATCGAGTTTATGATGCATTTAATAAACAAAATGTTAACATAAGAATATTAAATAATTTAAAAGAAAATTTACGTACACATAAATTAAGTTTACAAATGCAAATTAATAACGCTAATATTGAAACTCTAGGAGATGTAGACCTTCATAATACGGACAGTCGATATCCCGATGATGAAACTGATATTTATAATTGAATGATCTCACATTTTTTTTTCACTCTGTCGGTGAATAATACATTCATTTTGTTTGACATCTCATTTTAATCCTGCGAATACACCATTTTCTTTTAGTATATTTTCGAGTTTTAAATCATAAAAATTAAAGATGAATGGGCACGTTTCGATTCTATGGAAGTTCAAAATTCATAATTATGATGTGAAACTTCATGAAAATCTATTTTGAGACAGTGTAACCGTATGATAGTTCAACGTATATTATACCTCGCTTAATCTTAAAATGGCAGGGTGGGGTTAAGAAACTCAAATCAATTTCCGCACGTTCCCTAATACCCTGAGGTTAGATTAGGAAATTAATTTGGGTTTCCTAATCTAACTATGTAAGAGAGAGAAAGAGAGAGAGAGAGAGAGAGTAAATTGTTACCAATATGCGATATAGGATATTAACGGGTAATGTGGCTATATCCTACTTGGTAAAAAATTTACATTCCAGATGAAATTTTTACATTTTCAGGATATAGGAACGTGCCATATACTTCTCATCCTTCCAGTAAAAACCAGTGTACAGTCGTCTTTACTATATGAGTGTATCAATCTAATTAACTATAAGTTTTTTAGATTGTATTTGCTACTTTCTTATGCAAACTGTTTTATTGCATTGATAATTTTTCACAGATTAGTTTTGCTGTTTTAGTTACGTTCTTCATTTTTATTTTCAGTGTATTTAATTTTCTTCTTTTTTATTGTTCGTTAGTTTTTTTTATTAGCATTGCAGAGTTGTTTTATTTTATTTTATTTTTTTTTTCTATACACACAATACATGATTGTCACCACATTAAAACAGTAATGGGTGAACAATGTAAATGTCCACCTATTTTTCTTTTCTGCTATAAAAACAAGTTTCATACAAATATACCTTCTTAAACGAGACTATAGTACAGTGAAAAATTGTATTTTTATTCTTCCATTTTAGTATGCTCTCAGTGTAATGCCTTGTTGTTTGTATTTTTTGCGTATCTATAGTTAAGAATGAATTTTTTGATAAGTAATCTCAAAGATTATTGCTATTTCATCACTATAAATTCTATTCATTTTTAAATCACTTTTTATCCATCTAAGCAGAGAGAACGTTCGTAATATACTGCAATTATTCTTACGGTTCATAGTATTGATATTTTAATTAATATTTCAACAATTGTAAGAAAAATGGAATGTTTACATCTAAAGTTTTCTGAAAGCCAATGTAAGTTTTCTAATCTGTCTACTCTTTCATCATGTTCAACAGAACAAATTTAATATAATCTGAAAGTTTTTAAGTGATCTGAATCATCTTCTTGGAGAATATGAAATTTTTAACTTTTGGCTAAAAATAGGCAAAAGCCATTTTTTTCATAAAACGATATTTCGTTCGAGAAGCCAGACATTGCCACAATATGCAGTCTACTCTATTACCTATAATCCATCCGTTTTTTAGATTGTTATAGCTTCGAGAAAATCCGATGCCATTTAGTTACAATGATAGATAGCTAGAGCTCTGCCGGTTACGACTTTTTGACAACGTATAAGCTAACCTATACAAATCTTTGTAATCTAAACCTAGCCTATGAAACTCGTAATCTAAATCTAACCTAACCTAAGTTAACCTATGCAATTTTTTCCCAAAACCTGGTTTCAGGAGCCTAAACTTCAGCTTTGTTCGAGATTGTTATTGTTTCTTGTTTAAACAGCGTCTAATAGAAAAACTTATACAAAATAAATCACATTTTAAATGAATAAAGAAATCGGTTGAGTGTTTTATACTTTAATGTTACGTTTGAAAAATATCTTTTTGAGTAGGGAGATTCTATTAAGAGTAGACCAGATTTTCACATTTTCACTACGAAGATTCTAAGTGATCAACTTTAACTCTCATTTCTCCAGTCCAATGGCACTGAAATCGGGTTACCCCATTGCATCTGTGTCCAAAGGTACCGAGACAATGAGCATTAGATAGCGTGTCCAACACTATCACGCGACCGCCATTGTCGGAATTCGAACTCCGTATGTTTGAAGTACGTTGTTGCCCACTAGCCGACTGAGTCACGATCTAGTGTGTGGGCTGGATGGGCGGCGCCCACCCGAAAATAAACAGCTGATTTAGTTTTAGCAAAAAGTCTTGTAGCCAACCTAGATAAAACACTGGGCAGGAGAGGAATATCTAGTATTGTTCTTGACAGTTATTTGACCCAGTAAGACTGCGCTTTATGACTCCAGGTATTGGCGATTTTAATATGGTCGTTTAAAATAGATATTTTTCGTGTAGATTAAACATTGGTTATCAATACCGTAGCTTACAACCGAACCTATAAAAAAATTTCATAACCTAAACCTAACCTATAACCTGCAGGACTTTGTTGATAGCGACTTGGGACTTCCGTAGATCTATGGAGGACAAGTTCATGCATACGAAAATGGTGCTATCAACGTCCGAATCGTGGTTCCTGGAAAGTCACAGGGTTCAGACTATACGTTTTGCACAACAACCGTAGGCACGATATTGCATAACCTTATCGAATCCTATCTTAAGTACGAAATAATAAGATTCCATAAGATCGTGTTTGATTTTGTACGATCTTACGTACGAATGACACATGATTCTGACTGTTTTTTGCTGGTTTCTCTCGCTAGTCTGCTTTTGCTTTTCTTGCCGCATATCAAACTTCGTTTCTATTTCATATCTTTTAATGATGTATGTAAGATATAAAAGGTTTAGAAAACCCGTCGCTAGGTTGGAAAAACTGTAAAAATATTTCAGTTTATTGGGTAAATTACATTAAAACAGGACAAAATAATTTAAAAATAAAAATAACATAACATAAATCTTTAAAAAGAAAGATCAACAAGCAGAACATTACAAAAAAATATTTTGAATTGAGGTGAAAAATCGATCACTCAACGGTATAGTGATCGATGTATATTCTAAAAGAGATCTTATGCAACTCTTTTATCCGCTTTATTTTTAGTTGTCAGATATACCATACCGACGCGATTATCTATTTTTATCGATCTCACGGATGTGGAAAATCATCGGCTATAATGTCACCGGCAGGCAAATAGAGTATTTGAGAAAATATACCATCAAAAACTTTGATAACCGATAGATTAATGGCTTCTATTAAGATTGGAGTATAAGTGTGTTGAATTTAAGTAGAAGTACAATGACGGATGATCATTGACAACAATTTCTAAGTAAAGTATCGGGACAAACAATTTTATTATTCGAGGATATTGATGCAATCGCAGTTGGAAAACATTATGAGAAAAAAGGTGATTGTTATTGCTGTTTTGCTCTCAATTTACTGTTTTGTATCCTTCTCTATCCTCATTTTTAATATAGTTTTACCAAAGTCCAAGGTATGAAACCATTAACACTGACTGTACTCGATTGAATGTTGAACACCCACATCTGTAACGAAAAAATCAAACCCTCTTCTTCATTTGTTCCATGTAATGGCACGTAGAAAAACGAATGTTTATATTTTTCGAAAATGTCACAACGCCGAGTAATTTAGATTTTTAGTCCATTTTATACCTTTAAAAGGATGCAAAAAAGAAGCTATATAAGACTATCTTTTCAGCGATACATTTATTCAGACGGAAAGGTAGTCTGATTCTCTGAAGATCCTTCTAGAAAACCAGCTTCATAGCTAAGATTTTCTTTTTATTGTACCAGGATTACAAGATATGTAGTGAAAATCCTGAGAGTATGTATCTGTTTCTATAAAATATATATCAACATTCTATTTCTCGACGAACGGTAGGAAATTGATTTAATCGCCATAATATTTTATTATTGATATATTCCTTACGAGTATATCAAGCATAGATCTTTCTGTCATAAACCGTATGCAAATTCAAATAAAGGTGACATCTTATATTCTGTTCTTAAGAATAAAGACTTTAGAAGGTCTTCTATTGTGTCCTTAAAAGAAAGTTGTTTTTCTAGTTCATGTTTTGAGCAAATGAATTTTTGTCTCAGTTATTATTAGGAGTCAATGAGAGACAAACACTTATGACAGAATGCGAGGATAGTGGCCATAGCACATTTTCTTTCATTTGACTCCATGCATTTCTTGTCACATATACATTGTGTTTTTTATAGTAATTAGTAAACGAAAGAAAAAAGATACATTTTGTTATCTTATCACATGCGCAGAATGACCTCCTCTCGCTTCTTCATGAGCACATTTATGTGTGCTCAGTGGAAAAGAAAATTTACTTTTAATAAGAAATATTTATTATAAATTTTGCAAGACTTACAAATAGAAAACTGAAAAATAGGAGGGACTTTTATTTCAACTTTTACAAGATGATCTTTTATTGTGGAGAGGTCTTGTAATGTGTCCATCCCTTTAGGCTTGTCTGATTGAGAATATGCTCTCAGATAAACAATTTTGCATTTACCATTAGCTTAAATCATGATAATTCGGGATAGCCTTCTCAACACGTGAATAACTAACTGTAAATGAAGTATCGTACTCCGAAATCAAAATCTTTCGCTATATGAATGGTATGGAAACATCGATATTCCTGTATTTTTCGCATGTTTTTGCTATAATAAATTATTTTTTTCGTTTAAAAAATATTATCGCAAACATGAGACAAGCAGTCGAATGTAACATCCTCTTCTTTGTATGCCTTTAACTCCTGTCACTTCTGTATGTTTTTTAATAGGTTCTTTCGCTTTTGATTCTCCATTTGGTAAAAATATTTCCCACATTGTTAACATATCTAATGGTATATGTGTATGTTTGTATGCATAGTCAATATTTGCTCCTTTTTCATCAACAATTACGTGCGTAATCGAAGCATTAAATGCAATATTTTTGTCTGGTTGAATCATTGTAATCAATTCAATAACATGAGCAATAATATTTCGATGCGCAACAACAATTTCGAATGTTGGTATATGATTATTGATCGTTTCCGTTGTTGAACGGAAATAATCACGTTTTAATGAACGCCAGTTGCCTAGAACGATATCCATTATCGCTCTCTCTCAAATGGTTGTATTATGACTGATACATGATGAAAACTTGAGATGTATATAAGACAAACAGTGTAGATTTAGAGGCAATAGTATCGCATTGTATATTGTCAGTATCAATAGATTGATGGATAGTAGAGGGTGTACAGTAATCAAAACATACTATCGAGGTTGAAACATACCATTTAGAATAAATCCCAAGAACCAATTTTGTTCACGCCAATCAGTATCAATTGCAATATATTCTAAATCAATTTTTTTCAATATTTTTAAACGTTTATAAATGTGTACTGCTGTTTCTCTTGTTCTAATCATATCTGAATGTGTCAGTGAGTCAAATAGAACATCTTCAGGTAATTCCGTTGCTAAATAATTGGCTGCAAAAACAGCTTGTTGTTGTCCTTTTTCTGTTAGATTACCATCGCCTTGGGTTGTTAAACGTTGATATTGTCCATGTCGAACTAAATACAAATGACGAACAGCTCCTTGATCCTGATAAGAGACACCTTCTTCCCATGCCCACTCATTCGAATTTTTAGTATTTGCATTTGATTCACTGCTGTTGTTTCGATTATTTGCATTTAAATATTGACAACGTTTTGGATAATGTGATGCATGATCAGAAATAGACATTTATCAGCGTTATTTACATTATAATTAAAATTATTATTTTTCTTGTTCATTTTTTTATCTCTTACCGCTGCAATGTTGAGCGCCAAATAATTGTATTCGTAGAAAATTGAGTCTTTTAAAACAAAAATGATTCTTGATTGAAAAGGATGAAACAAGTCGTGGTCCAAATACTGAGAGACTCATTCTGAAATATTCTACTCACTAAATATTTCATTCAAATATTGCATTGAATCTGTACAATTATAAGAAACGACGAGAAAACGAATGACAAGAGATTTTATGAAATATAGAGGGAAGTGACTTTTCCGATGCATCATCATTATTAATCTAACAACCTTTTTATGTCAAAAAACACATTTAATAATGATTAGTAATATCAGTTGTTACAGATAAATATGTAATCAACGGTGGATAAACAAAAATAGGGATTTAATTGTCCTCAACCAACTTTTCTCTCTTGCATAAGAATAAGTTATGTTTCTGACTGCTATTGAGAGAATCAAATTTAGAATTAATGATAATAATGTAGTCGAAGTATTATGCTTAAGCAATAATTTCCAGTTATATTATTTATACTATCTTATTCAATTTTAAATATAATAAAACGATCATTTCATGAAACATTTGCGGACTGTGTTAGTAAGAAATATCTATATTGTAGGCTAAGGTGTTTCAGATCAATCGTGTAGATGAACGTGCCATGTTAGAATCAAAAGGGTCTCTCCTCATAGAGTTAGATCCGGCATGCTGCATTATATATCAACCACGTTAGATAGCTGCCATGAAAAAGTAGATCATAAAAGAACAATTTCCAACAAAGAATGTTTTTCCTTCGAAAGATATAATCAACCTCATGTAAAAAATGTTTTTATTATATCAGACGCGTTTGAACGAATCCAAAACAAAACATCCGAACAAAAGGAAACGTGTAAAATTTTGATTTTTTGAAAATTTGAAAATTTTATGTTTTGTGTGACTATTGAACTGGTTGTCTATATTATTTACCTACTTCAAGGTGAATCTGCTCGTACACATAGAGCCAACAGAACAATTTATACTAACAAAACTCAGGGGTCGGACAGTGTAAATAGAAACTAAGCATGTACACAATTGTGCTATATTTATGTTAATAGACATTATGTATTTTTGTACGAAATTTTGTTTTATTATTTTCTTCTGTCTTTCATTTCCCTTTAGGCAAAACGTGCACCGCGTGATCTAGAGAACTATGAAAGCTAGAGAAGTTCTGGAAGAGGCAGGATGATCTCCCGATATTGGAGATTAATCAATGCACATTTTTCTCTTAAGTAACGGTCCAGATTCGGCGCCATAAACTACATAAATGGAAGACAAATGTATTTTGGACTTCGCTAATTATTGTTCTCTTTGTCCGGCGCCATTTAGTTAAATTTCTTTCTCTGTTTTTCAATTTTCCTTCATTGTTGTCTTTATATTATAAGCAGTTCAAAGAGTAAATCAAAGCAAAAATGCAATGCTCACATCCTACTGATAGAATCTGCTTGGAGCAGTAGGTTCAGTCAGAGACGGAGTCTGACGACATCGCAACTTGTGTGCAGCGCAATTGTAATCTACTTGCATTATGTGATTATCAGCGGACATAGGCAAAATCAAACATCTTTCGAGTAAATAATTCTGTCCCAATGTCTTTTTTGTGAATCAAACCTATCATGTAAACATGATGATGTTCTTGCTCTGGATAAATAACACGTTTCTGTCCTTCGTCTAATGATAATAATTAAGATAATGATTACTTTGTAAAAATATATAAAGTATTCAGTCTAAATCAGATACATTATCATTTAGCTAAAAACAACAAACATGCTTCAGCGCGTTTACTCACTTCAAAGCTGTTGCTAAACAGGTTTCTATACAAACAAACGTTTCATTTTAAGGTCCAAAAATTGTCCACCTCTATACTAGCTTTTTAGCATTTATAGAAGATAGAACAATACTGTGTTTTTTTTTAACAAACAGTACAGTTATGGCTACATTTTTTTGAAATTTGACGTGTCAGTTAAGTTCTTAACCTTGATTTGGTGATTAATAATGAGAAATTTTTTTATTTCAAAAAGTAAATATCTCAGTCACTAATCAAATAGTTGTGTCGTCCACGAGTCTACTACCTTTTAAAAGAAGAGAACAACTCTACTACTACTGTAGAGAAAAATGTACTTATTAAGTGACACTAGCGTCAAAACTACTAACCAGCGAATATGCTTTGTATTCATTAGAACATTTTAAGACTTGCAAGAGAATATACATAACTTTCTACTGAAAATCAGTCCAACGTTAGTACATCATGTTTTATTTTAAAGGAAAGAGCTCACTTTGCAAATCTCTATATTCAAAAAAAGGATTAATAGAGTTAGAATAATAATAGTCTTTAACAACAATATTTTTGAAGCTTTTATGTAAACATCCACAAAGCACAATTGCAAGATATAGCGATAAAGCGATACGGATTTTGTAAGAGGAAACTTCAAGACACTCAGTCATATTTTGTTGTTTTTGTGGCTGTTATTGTTCTGTCTTTTCTAGCCTACGTATTATTTCATCACTTTTGTCTTTCATCGAAGAAAAGACGACGATAACATTATTTTCTCATCAAAATAACTAAAAAGAAATAAGACGTAATTCTTCGATAAATATCGAATATGGGGTCATATGACCAAATCCATTTATCTAATTCGAAATGTCAAAAAATCTTTGAAATAATAACATCATCGAAAAGAAATAAAGAGGGAAGAACTAGTTCATTGCATTGTGTAACACGCATTCCATTCCTTAAATATATATAGTATATAGTGCTTCACAACTATTTCTTCTGTCAACGAAAGAGAAGAAAGAAAAAAACAACAAATAACGACAAAAACAATTATATTTTGACAATAATGTATACACCTTCATGTTCTTCTGCACTCTTTCTCTCTCTGTTGTCTCTTATATTAGCATATCTCATTGTACAGATTCTCCCTCTATTTTCACGTTTTGAAAAACGTGACGGTATTATGATCTTGAAATGATCTCTGTTTTAAAATGAAAAATATTCAATATATGTATAAATGTATGTTTAACAAGAGAGGGAGTTAAAAATGATGGGAAAATTATTTGAATGAAAAATGATCACATGAAGGCGAACATGCAACAATAATATCGACACACACACATCATAAGCCTTTCCAATCGAACGAAGGAAGAGAAAGAAAATTTACCAAATTACGCATTGTTTTTTCGTCTTTTCTTCTTCTGGTTTTTTCTTCTATAAATCATTTATTTAAAAAATAATACAGCGGAGCATATAATAATTTTTCTCTCCTTATCCATTTTATTGAGAAGCGCATTCATTATTATATTATTCAATCGAAAGTGATATACATCAATCGTTTAATTGATATTAACTTTGTGAAACTAAAAGTACAAAAATATTAATTAATTTAAAATAATTAACAACAAATGGCGGCTGCTGTAAATACTTATCGATCGTATGATCCAACTGTCTCATTGTATAAAGTACCAGAATTTGTTGTCGATGGAGAGAAAATGTTGTATCATGCGCTTTATGGAAATGAAGCGTACGCACAATTACGTAAGTAGCTTCTATTCTTAGTAGTTTAATTTACTATAAAAATTGGACAATTAATAGTTTAAATACGATTAGTAAATAAGTAGTGGTATTGAATAAAATTCACAGGTAAATTCTGTTTGACTGACGCTAGTTTGCAAACTACGAGCCTTTTCGGTGGCAGTTCTTAACCATCAAACTCATGTACATTATTCACGTTTTATCGAGAGAGAGAGAGAGAGAGAGAGAGACAAAGAGAGAAAAATCAAGATCAATTAGTTTTTTTTGACATATTTTTGTATGGGTATGGTATAATTTGTCATTGTCACGATTTTTGTTCTATTCCCTTTTATTGTTTAACTTTTGCCTTTACAACAAAATTATTTCTTCAGATTCACAAATTTTTTCGTCATTCATAATTGATATGATAAGGAGAAATAAGATTTTTATTTCATGTAAAGATTAATTATGAGAGTTCAATTTACTTTACTTTTGAACTATACGATGTATTCGCTGAACAGTTACATTTATATTTGTGAAATTCATTTTCGATAATATATTTTGACTAGAAGTTCAGAATAGTTTAAAATATGATGAAAGAAATGTTAACATTTAGACGTGAACCGTCCTTTGCAAACGGATTGTCAAGCATTTCTTACTATCGTCCGATGGAAGAGTTACGTAATGCTACAACATCAATTTGAATGAAAATAGTGAAGGAAAATGCAAAGTATATAATAACTTCAAGCATCTGTTACCCACTATTCTGATAAAAATTCAAGGTCATTTTTTTATTCAGTTTAAATTGGATGTCTGAGACAGCTGTTATAATTGAAGGATCTATAACGGAGAAATTTATTTTTTTAATGATATCAACAAAAAGGTAAATTACTCAAAACTTTATTGTGTTGCTAGTATTGATAAGTGACAAGACATTCTTTATTGTTTAATACTTTCATGTATCCAATTTCCTTCTTGAACTTCTTCTATTTGAAGATAATATCGTACAAACGTTTCTGTCTATAATGTTTTTCAGCATATTCTTAAAAAAATAGCCGTATTTTGTATTGTTAAAGGTCTGAGTATTAGTTTGTTGTTTATCTATATTTTGACATCTATTATTAGACTATACTTCGAAAAAACAAAAAGACTCTAGAGTATATAGATTTTATTTAAAATTATTTTTTCTCTATCAGTTAGACTTTCATAGATTTTTGTTATACCTGATTATTGCATATCAGACTACTAAGTCAATTAAGAATTTTCTACTTTAAGTACAATAACATAACATTCTTGTTATGGATACTTAAAGGGCTCCCTCAATGATAAATAGTATATATTTATTTATTGAATATTTTATCAATGTTATGTATGGAATCTCGTCGCGTATAAAAGGAATTCGAGTATTATTATTTTT